CCTTTGCCTCTGTTTGTCAGAGGCTGGAGAGGGATGGCAGGAGACAAATCACTTGATCATTGTCTTCGGTCCACCCTCTCTGGGGCACCTGGTGCTGGCCACTGTTGGTAGACAGGATACTGGGCTAAATGGACCTTTGGTCTGACCCAATATGGCCGTTCTTATGTACCCCTCTCCCACACCCCACTTCCTACAAGTAGTTTCATTTGGCAGCTCCCTGAATAGGAGGAAAAAGGGTGCAAATAGCATTCAGGAAAACAGAAGGGGAGGGGTAGGTTGTTAGAACTGTGGGAGACTTATGAGGCTGGAAAGGAGGAGCAATAAGGAGATTTGAGATTCGTTGTGATGCTTGGGAATAATCACCACAACACTTGAGTTGGTGGTAGTCAGGAAGATGGAGGACTCTTGGCAGCAGCCTTCTCTGGAGAGTGTGGGGAAAAAGAGTTAGAGAGAATATGAGGTAAGGGGAGCCAGAGTGATAGGCAGGTGCTGCCTTGTTATACTGAAAGGCAGGGCTGTCCATTGGAATGTATAAGAGCTCTGACTGGAGGCAAAAGGCAAACAACTGCACAGGAATTTCCCCTTACATTAGGGGTAATTGCTGAAAGTGGGTCTGAAAATGCGGAGACTATGGAAAGCCCACAGAGCTGGAAGACTTGCCTGCCAGACTGGTTACCGTTTTCCTCTTTGGTAAATGTAAACCTTAATAGACCACACTTACTCTTACAGATTGAAACTCTCTAAACTGGGACTCTCTGGTCTAGCAACATCCATGGTCCTGGACCAGAGAGTCCTAGTAAAGGGCTAGTGCTTGGGAGCCCAACGCATGGCAGTGAGTCTTCCTGGCTGGGCAGTGGGAGCCCGATGCATGGTAGTGGGGCTGCCCATTAGGACAGCAGGAGCCTGGCAGGACAGTGGGGGCCAGCGACAGGGGGACCCAGCAGAGAGGCCGGCAGTCAGAGGGCCAGAAATGACCTTCTCTGATCCAGCAAAACTCCTCACCCAGGGCCTGTCAGGCCTCAAGGGTGCTGGACCACAGAAGTCCAATCTGTATTAGTGCGTGCCATTAAGCTTGTATATTTTGCAACAATATTATGAATGTTTTGTCTCACAGACTAGATACACTTTTATACTAGACCTCCATTTTCATTTAACTCAGCCTTGTTAAACAACTTACCTTATCACAGTAGTACTGACTGGAATCTTCTGTTAAGCTCCTTTTCGTAATGTTGTCATATGTTTCTAAAAACTGTTTGTCCACCCCATCCAATGGATGAGAGCCTGCTAAGTTACCAACTCCATTGGGAAACTGGGACAAGGTAACGGGTGAGGTATGAGTCAGACAGTTCTGTGTTGGACTATTTTCCAATACATTCCTTCAATAAAAGGAAAAGATAAAATACATTAAAAAGGTACTGATATTCATGTGTTTGTACTCAACATACAGTAGTAATTACAAACACAATGTGAATTTATGATAGCAGAAAGCTAGTTTGAGTGTGACTTTCTGTTAAACAATAGACTATTCTATTGTAAGTGTTGTAATACCTATGTTTTTACTTGGATTGTCTTCAAATATGTTGTGTCTCATGGAGGTTGGGGATAGAGTGATTTGGTCCAAATGTGGGGTCATTTGAACATGGAATACATGAGCAATTAACTGTTCTTCAGAAAATTCCAATGCATGTTTATTAAAGCATTTTTTAAAACTTTTTTTCATACATCTGGGGCTCAAACTACAGTTACAATACTCCTGAAACTGATCTAGACTAATTGGCATTCACCGGAGCTTCCGGGAAAGCAATACAGGCAGTCCCCGGGTTACGTACAAGATAGGGACTGTAGGTTTGTTCTTAAGTTGAATCTGTATAAGTCGGAACTGGCATCCAGATTCAGACACTGCTGAAACTGACCGCCAGTTCTGACTTACATACAGAATCAACTTAAGAACCCCAAGCTCCCCAAGTCAGCTGCTGCTGAAACTGATCAGCAGCTGATTCCAGGAAGCCCCGGGCAGAGCAACTCTGCCTGGGGCTTCCTGTAGTCAGCGCTGGTCAGTTTCAGCAACGGCTGACTTAGGGACGTCTGGGGCAGAGCAGCTGGGGGTGGAAGGGAGGTTTTCCATGCATGAATACCAAGCCATTTACAGTAGGTTGAAAAAGTAATTTACAGAACATTTAATTTCTTATCTAAATTGACAAAATTCTTTACCAAATGTTTCCAATAGATGGGAAGGCTGTGCTTTGGGTAAGCTCATATTTTTTTGGTAGCATGAGCATCCTTGATAATTACAGAATTTGGTACATATCCACATATATAATGTTTAATTCAAACTGATAAGATATTTCTTGTTTTTCAGTTTATTTTTTGAGTTGTGTACTGTGCAGTATAGTCAGTGTTTCTGAAGAAAAAGAGAAACAGGCACTCTTGGTATAGCATTAAAGAGCTAATAATAGGGGTGAAATCCTACCCCATTGAAGTCAATGAGAATTTTGCTCTTTACTTCAATGGGGCCAGGAATTCACTCTAGTTATTTTC